CCACAAACATACATACATACATACATACATACAAACAAACATACAAACAAACACACAAACGTACATACAAACAAACATACAAACATACATACATCATCATCGTCATTCAGTTATCGAGTCTAATGCATTTAAAATCCCAACTTATTAACAACATTTATTCCCGGGATTATCAAGATGATTGTGGCCGTCATGATGATGATGTTGTTGTGGTGGCTGCTCTGCTGATGATGATCATGTGGGTGATGATGATGATGATGATGATGATGATGTAAGTGATGATGATGATGATGAGGATGATGATGATTAGAATTGTGATTTTGTAATGATGATGACGACGATGGGTTTGTTTGAAGTTGTGGAATAATAAATATTCTTCATCTTTCAAGAAGGTTAACTCGCTCCATGGTTGAAGCATGGAATCCTACAATAAATAGCTAGTTATTATTGTAGAATTCCATGGTTGAAGTCAGCTCTTCGAACTTCTACCTACACACAGCATATCGATTGGTTTGTCGGGTAATTTGAAGTAGAAACCACTGCAAAACTCTAATCAAGATGTGAATGAAAGCACGGAACCATGTTTCCAACGAAGATCCGTTCAAATCTTATCCGACTTTGTTCTTTCATTGAAAGACTGCTATCCATCCATCTATCCTTCCAGAATGAAGGTTGCAGATATGCTGCTGCTGATGATGGTGGTGATGATGATGGTGGTTGTGATGATGATGGTGGTGATGGTGGTGATGATGATGCTGAAGACGCAACTACGCCCTTATCCAGTTAATCCTTTCTTATAAACATGCTAATTTCTTTTCAATAACCCACATACACAGACACACACACACACACATACACAAACACATAAACACACACACACACACACACACACACAAATTCATAAACAAAATTACACGGATATAAAAAAATATTTTGTAAAATTTATAACCGAACGGTTTCAAATATTTTCTCAAATATGAATCGAACAGTTTATCAAATATGTGTCAAACGTTTTGCCAAACTTATTGCCAACTTAATGAGTATATTTCGTCAAATTTGTGTCGGTTATTCTGTTGAATAGTTTGTCGAATATCTTGAATGTCGAATAGATTTTCCGATATCTGTCGAATATTTTGTCAAGTTTGAGCTTACTCTGATTTTTTTTTTAGATTTTACAAAATGGTCGCTAGTTCTTCTAGTGTTATAAGATTCTGCTGCTGTACATTTGGTTTTGTTTTTGGTTGTATGCTTTCTGTTGTATGTTTGTTTGTATTTTATGTCTTCTTTTGTTTTCTTCGTTTTTGTGTCAATCAATCAATCACTCGGCCAATCCTTCATTCATTCATTCGTTTTTTTTATTTGTTAATTCGTTTCGTTCTTTCATTCTTACAATGATCTATCAATTAAATAACTCATCAGTAATTCATTCCTTTATTTGTTCACTCACTCATTCATTCAATCATTAATCCATTCATTCATTGATTCGTGAAATAAATTTCTAAGGTTCTACATGTTTTTAATTAGTGCAAAGCAGTTTATTAAACTTTCATTTATGATAAATTAAAAAGTTAAACTGAAAACCTTAAACCGTAAAAAAATCAATTTTAGTTCATTATTCTAGCCAAGCACTTCAACAGCTTCGCGAGAATTTTCGCGAATTTTTCGGGAGAAATTTTTCGGGAACATTTTTTCGCGAATTTTTCGCTTCGAAGCTTCCAATCGTCTGTTTATTGAACTGTTAAATCAGATGATGTTTGTGGGCATTGTTTGTTCTTTGTTTACGTTGTTTATGTTTTTGTTGTCTATGTTTTTTTGCCATTTGCGTCTGTAGTTCTTTGTTTTTGTAGTCTTTGTTGTTTGTGTTTTTTTTGTTTGTTCAGATTTAATGTATATAACAAAGATAAAAAAAACCCACTAAATATAAGAACTTCATATTAAAATAAATTGAAATATTGAGGAACAACAACAACAACAAACAGACAAAAATATACAAACATGATAAACATACAAAACAATATTTCTCGGACACTCAACAGTTTGAGATACAACTGTAAACATAGTAATAGCATCAACAACAACAACAACAACAACAACAACATCATCATCAACAACAACAACAACAACATCATCATAAAGCATACAAACACAATGACCATTCCAACAAAAACATGATGTGTCGCCATGTTTATTTCATCATAAAGTTATAATAACAATCATCATACCAGAAGTGCAGATAGAGAGAAAGAAAGAGAGAGAGAAAGAAAGAGAGAAAGAGAGAGAGAAAAAGAAAGAGAAAGAAGGAAAGAGAGAGTGAAAGAAAGAGATAAAAGAGAGAGAGAAAGAGAAATCCATGAAATAAAGCACGTGAAAGAATGTAAGAGATAAAATATAAACACATGTACATTGAAGACACAAACATACATACATACAAACAAACGCAAACACATACAAACAAACAAACATTGAAACACATAAACATACAAACAAACAAACATGCAAACAATCTTATATCTGTAACGTGCAAACAATACAATACACACTTCAAGACATCATAAGTTAGATGATAATTTAAAACCTAGGCAGATAGGATTATTTATACAACTAAGCAATTGAGATGCACAACGTTAAGCTTTCTGATGAGAATCTTTTACTTTTTCATTATTACCCCTTTTGTAAAGGTCAGCTTTGATGTGCCGGGGCAAGAGAGCTTCTCACTGAATGCCCTTCCAACAAGTCTTCTCCTCCTTCTTCTTTTTCTTCACTTGTTTGTTCTCTTAGAAAATGCGATTTTCTATTCTTGTCTTGCTTGCCTACGGGGGCTTACGTGGAGTTATTCACGA